AAAAGAGAACATAAGCCCAAAGTTCATTTTGATATGACTAACTTGGATAAGTCAAAAGAGGGAAAAACTCACAAGAAACAACACAAGAAGAGTAAGTTGAAAGAGTTTCATTTTGTTATATTATTTTGACTTATGAAGAAACTTATTCTCTTTTATTTCATTCTTGTCTTTTTCTTTAGGCATTCAGAATAAGGAAAATCTTGCTAAAACCATTCAGGTTAGTATCTTATTCTAATTTTATTTCCTATTTTGGAATGGAATGTCCTAGGATCTAGTGACGAAAAAAATGAGATATGAGATTGGTCCCCCCTTTTGGTACATGAACTGTAACATCCTTTTAAGGACCTCAACATTTTTATCAATATCAACTTTATTTTACTATGAACAATTCATAGCAAATGCAGAATATTAACTTTATCTACCAATTCTAATTTCTAAGGAATGAGTTAAGTGTTTAGGACAGTATTTAATGTTAAGTCAGACGAAGCGCATTCGCAATTCCCACCGAGGTTTTGAATATGACAAATATAATACATATTGTTGTTCCTAACATGTGAATTACTGTTTAAGATGGCTAACAATAAGTTCAGGCAAAAATGAAGGACAAAGTATGATCAAGCATAATCAAATTGAACAGGACATTAGATGATAACAAAGCTAGTATCGTGACTAAGGTTGATCCAGGCCTAAATCAAATACAAGATAAGACGAATCTATCAGTTGAAGCCTGAGGGATCAGATGTAAGACCAAAAAAGGCATCATATGAGACTAAGTCAAGAACAGGATGAAAGTTGGCTAAACATCAACATGGATTTGTAAAATCATCAGATAGAGCCTAACGAACAAGCAAATGAAGTCATCACTCTCATGACTAGATGTAAAGGGTAGTCAAGACCAGACGAAGAATCATGTATCCAAACACAGTCAAAAAATAATGAAGCGCGTCTAAAGTCCACTAATCACATTGAGTGAAATCATACAAGAAACACAAAAGGACATCAAACCTGAATATAGAAAGAAGAAAAATAGGCAAGCGTGGATTCACAAGTCAAAGTTGCGTATGTCAGAAAAAGGACACCTACTTTTCAGAGAAAGACAGCACCTCAGCAACTAAACTGATGAGAAAAGTACAAATATGCCTAGATCATGATTGAAGTCAGACATTGAAATAATTAACTACACAGAAGGACTTCACGTATACAAGCAAACATTTAATGCAAGATCAAATGCATTAAATGAAAATATTTACATAGCCATGAACAAATCTCCATATGCAACGACATGAAGCTCTGCTCCAACGAGAAAATTTGAATTCAAACAATGGGCAGATTTATCAAGAGGCTATAAGTATCAAGGCAAAGAAGAAGATGTAGAGAACTGAGAAGTAGAGAAAACGTGCAATAAGAAAAAGAAAGCGAAAAAGCATAAGCTACATTTCTTCTCAAAGCATTTCCTCTATATCTGTGTAAAAACTAAGATAGCTTATCTTAGTGAGTGTTGCTAATATTTTATCCTCTCTACGAGAGTAAACAAAACACTCAGACATTTATTCCTGTAAAACTAAGGTTACGCACCTTAGTGAGTGTAGAAACTATCCTATCCTCTCTGTGAGAGTTGCAAACACACTCAACACCTCCATTTGCTATAAATCTTGAAGAGGCTCATTGAAAGAATACTTGTGAACCAGAAGTGGTTTGAGAATACTAGCGCTAGTAAGTGAAGCTAATGGGCCAGAAGTGATCAAGAATACTTGGAAAATCATAAGTGGTTAAGAATACTAGCGTCGACATGTGAGGTTGACGAGCCATAAGTGGTTGAGAATACTTGTAATCATCAGTGATTAGTGGAATCCTTCAGTTGAAGGAGACTAGACGTAGCTCAAATTGAGTGAACCAGTATAAAAATCTGTGCATATCTTTTTCTACTTCTCAAACATTACTTGTTTAAAAATTTCGTCTTTCATCTACTTTCATTTCAACAAAATGTTAGACGAAAACACATTTGTCCACTATTTTTGAAGAAACATTTTTTTTTGACGATAAATCCTTTCAGACGGTAAACTTATTTACTCAACTTGTTTCTTGAAGCAGGCGATCAGTTTTATTGGATGCAAAAAGCTTTATAGTCAGACAAGCCTGTACAAGTTTTCAACAGTGCTTGAATATTCTTTTTATTAAAAGAAAACGGAGTATCTTTACAAAATGATTTTAAAAAAATATTTCTTCGAACACATACACACATTCAACCCCCCTTCTGTGTGTATTTTCGCTAACTTCATTTAATATAGCCATTTTTTTATACTTGTTCTTAATTTTTTATACCTTTATTTTTTTTATGTTGCAGGTTTTAGAGTGAATATGGTGGTGGTGGTGGTTGTGGCAATTTAGATTGTGTGTATATTGAAGGCATCTTACTATTTGATATGGAAGTTACACAACTCAAAATGAGAATTCATAGAAAAATGCAATAGTAACACTTAGATGATTTTGGTTTTATCTTTGACAAAGAACAAATTAGTGTTGCCTTTTGAATGATGCCATGATGGACAAAAAGGATTTAAATAAGAAATTTATCTTTATTGTAATTCATTAAATGCATAACTTCATACTTGCAAGTGTTATAATATAGTAAGTTTTCAATTCACTGTTTGAAGTTAATAAGGAAGCAATGGATTCAAAGTTGTTATAATTTAGATGTTTGAAACATAAATTTGTAACATTTGATAAATGTTGTAAAAGGTGTCAATTGGCAACGTTTATAAAATGTTGCAAGTGATATGCTAAAATATTACAAAAGATGTCAATTTGTAACATTTATAAAATGTTACAATTGATATGTTAAAATGTTGCTAAAACCTTTTAGCAACATGAACTTTATACTACATTTGTAAAAGTGTTGCTAATTATGATTGATAACATTTTTCTTAATTTGGTAACATTTTTTAAATGTTGTTAAATGTGAAAGATGTTGTAGTGGGTGTAGTTGTTGTCATTAAGGATGATTGCATCCCTAGTGTGGTATCTCCTAAATTTGATCTATTTTTCTTCTTTTTCTAGGGTTGTTAATCCATTTTTGCATATATTTTTCCTAGAATGAAGTTACATAAACTGAATTGAACCACTTTTTGCTTCAAACTCCTTTATAAGATCACTTACAATGGTCTCATCAACTGTGCCAATTTTGTTGTCCCGTGAATAATTGGGTTTAGCTGGGTGAAGTTCGGTTAATTTATCTGCAACACGATTCCAAAATTTGAACTTTTGATCAAGCGATTTGAATACCGAAAGAGAAAATTTGCCTTTCATCCGAATATGGGTCCTGAAGTTACTACAGAAAGCACTTAAGGTATAGGTAAACTAACTAAAATTCGAATGAAAGACTTGAAAAGTTAAATATGACAAAATTTAAATTTTGGAATCTGTAAATTCGACAAGATATAAAGAAAAATCGAACACATAATATTTATTTAGATGGATGACCGTTCATTCAAATATATTTGTTACACACATACAAAATAAATTATGACTAATATTCTAAATCATGTTTTCAACAATTTTGATCGCTAATTAGTGTTATTTCAACAGTTTTGGTTATCTTACTTGATTTCAACTAGGCTCTAGTGTTGGCAAATACTTCATGATCCTATTTTTTAGGAAGTGCTCTGACAGCATAGGGCTTTTTGATTTTATACTTTTCTAACCACTAAAAACATGATCCTTTATTTTTCGGCCCCCAACTTTTGATCTTTTTATTTATTAATTATCAAAACATTAATTGAATTTTGAATCCCATACCAATTTGTTGAATTCTTTGCTTATGCGTATCATAACTCTTGCCACCAATATCACCAAACAGATTTTAGATACTCTATCCATTAGGTTAGCCAACTTTTGACTAACAATTTCTTAATGATAATAGGTTGTTTCATCATTTATTGATTGGGGGAACATGGGCTAAGAGACCTACTACAAGGACCATGACAAGGAGAGCCCAAGAGGGATAAGCTAGTTTAGAGTGGGATAGGCTCATATTGATTAAAGTTGGGCTATTACATGATTGTAAGTTCAAGTTTTTCTAATAATGTTTTTGATTGTATCTTGTATTTTTCATAAGCATTGTATTTTGGGCTAGCATAGTTAGGATTTTCTTTAGGTCGTGTATTTGGGCCACTGGATAGGATATAGGCCTACCTAGATGGCAGTTATATATTTAAGTTTCATTTAAGAACCATTTGAAATGCATTTGGACTTCATGTGGTTGGTCAAGGGTAGCGTACATGGCATGTCCCAAATGTATCCCCAAATGTCTTCTAAAGGACACCTAAATGCATTAGCCTAACCTCCTAGATGCAAGAGCACATGGTGGGGAGAGGTTTCGTAACAAATTTGAATTTAAATTCAAATTTGTCGCACCTAAGAGTCAAGTAAATCATACCATGGTTTAACTTGACCCTAGGCTTAACCTAGCTTTTCCAAGACACCACCTAGCTCTATATAAGGCCTCCTTTACATGTAAATTGTAGACTTTGGATTATATATGAGATTTTCATTCAGTATTCCCTCTCAAATCTAGAGCCAAATAGCTTAAGGAATCTAGCTTTCTTAAGTTCTTTCAACAAGGAGACCTTCCTTCTGAAGTTGCGCTTCTTGTTCTTCCTTCCTTAGAAGACTTTGTGCGCGCTTTCTCCTACATCTTCTCCTTCATTTCATTCGGTCAATAACATTTCTAAGCTTCAAGAAAAATGTGTGGATCATTGGAGGTCAAGAAGAATGGATTTGTTCCTTGATTTGTACATGAATCATTATAACAGCTCGGACACACTAGAATGAGAGAAATTGTATAAGTAAAGACAAAATACGTTGAAGTCTTGTTGGTATGTAGGATCAACGGTTGTTTCTAAGAACGGATGAACATCTCAGAAAGGGTAATCCATGAAGGATTCTAACTAGTGAAAAGTTCTTATCAATGAAAAGCTGTATATAAGGTGTCACTATATGAAGTGTCATAGAATGAAACTACTCTTAGCAAATGTAAAGGTTGTTACAATCATGACGGAAAATAATACTTTCCTCTCATAGGAATTGATCAAATAAAAAGAAGTATACTCTTTATTAAAAGAAAATATCAAGTGCCTGGATGTTGAAGGGTCTCTGTTTTATCACAAAGATCCCCAAAATTACAAGATCACTGACCAAAAAGCTCCAGGATTGCATGCATCTCCATTTACAGTAATATGTAGAAACCCAACGCTGAAGTGAAGAAGCGTCTTCTTCCGCCCTTTTCCTTTCCCAGAAAATTGGCCATCATTTCATGGAGTAGAAATAAATGCACAAAATTACCAAAATCTAAAAAAACAAAATAAGAACTGAGATCATAATAATAAATCAATCCCGTGATAAATAATTATTTCTTTGAAACTAATTTATATATCCACTTCTTGCATATTGACATGGGTCAAAGAACAACAAAGAAAAAAGCAGAAAAAAAAAAATGTAAACAAAACACATAATAGCAATGCTATCACTAAGCTAACAGATTGAGCCATCTAGCCAATATCACCATCAGCAACATCAAATCAATACTCAAAGCAGAAGAGAAAGACCAAGAATATAGTGAGCTTGCATGAATTGGAGTTCAGAATCACAAAAGTTAAGAAAACCCATTTGGCTGAGAAAGATTCTCACGTCATCAAAGACTGTATTCTTGGATCCAGTAGGCCTGACAGCATCAAGCCTCACTATATTCACTTGCCTCAGCTCCAGCTGCTGCCACCACCCGCACAATGGAATCATCAAATAAACATATCACCAAAAAAAAGGGACAGGGGAAGAAAAAACTTAAACTTTGACAGTATTTGAAGACAAAATGGAAAGCGACCAAATGGTGGGGTGTGGGTGGATATTTTCTTAAAAGAAAATAAAAAGGAAAAAGAAAACAAGAAGAAAAGGGTTGAATGAAGGCAAGTATTGTCGATGTTTGAAAAGGATGGTGTTAAGGATGTCTAGCTGTTCTGTGTGAGCAATTCTGTCCAATAAAGATGATATGGCCCAACAAATATAGGCAAAGAAAATAAGAGAAATGAACGGTGGAAGTGCGTGAGCGTTTGAGTGCAGATTTAGAACATGAGATAAATCTGTTTGGTTCGGCTTAACCACCACATTCCCTCAACTCAACATGGACCCCATCTTTTACTCTTAGGATCAATTTCAGTCAAAATTAAAATAATATTTATTCATCAAAAAATTAAGTTTCTTTACATAGATCATTCTTTAATTATCAATTTTAAAATATTGATCTAAATTTAAATAATATTTGTTTATAGAAAAATAAATTTTCTATGTAGGTCAATCTTTAATTATCAATATGAAATATTGATCGAATTATTTTTCATAAAAAAAAAAAAAAAAAAAAAAAAAAAA